CATACGCATACACGGGGCTGAGGGCGGGCGCACAAAACAAAATAGCATGTCCCCACCACTCCCCCCCAGTCCACGACCAAAGCAGTGCGCATCTGGTGCCAAGAACAACCTTTTTTTTCTCAAACACGGAACGAGAGAAACCATAGTCTTGTTTGAAGAGGAGGTACAGGCGCTCGCACAGGCCCTCAATAAACGTCTCGTCGCGCAGCTGTGGCAGCAGCTTCTCAACAATGTCGTCGCGGAACCGGAAGCGCGCCTGCCAACGGTGTGCAAATGTGTGTGTGTGTGTGTGTGTGTGTGTGTGTGTGTGTGTGTGTGTGTGTGTGTGTGTGTGTGTGTGTGTGTGTGTGTGTGTGTGTGTGTGTGCGCGCGCGCGCTGGGGGGGGGGGCGTAATGTAATCTCAATCAAGCAAGTCATCGCCGGACCCTACGTGGCTTCAAACACAAATGTGCACCAAGCACACACACACACACACGTGCACACACACACACACACACAATCGCAGACAAGGAACACCCTTTGCCTGCCAACCCACCAGGTACAGCCACGCCCAATAGTATGGATAAGCACGCCAGTTGTCCGGGTGTTTCTTTGGGAACGAAAGTCCGTTATCAATGGCGGCGAGCTGGATGCTTTCTCCGTTTCCGTCCTCGTCCGCCTGCCATCACAACAACACCATGAGCAGCAAGAACAGCATGAAAGAAGCACGTGAATCTGTGGGCGTGGGGGGGGGGGGCGAAGTTTGACACTGTTCGAAGCACACTCGAGTGAATTGGGCCACTCCTGTATCTTCTCAGCGCGCACGACGGGCCGATGGGCGAATGAACGGGCGGGCGAAGGACATGCTGTACAAATACACACACACACATACACACAATACATAACACACAACACACACACACAGCACACACAACACACGCGCGCACCGGGGTGAATCGGAGGAGCCAATTGTCGTTGCCTCTGTCTGTATTTCGGGTGAGGTAGTCTAAGACAACCATGTGCTGGAACTGGCGCGTCAGGCTGTCCTGTGTTTCCGGCTGCAACTCATCAAAGTTGAGCGAGCGAAGCACCTCTGACGCGTCCTTGAAGCCGCGCACAAACACCTGGAAGGAGCCGATTTTGGGCGGCAGGCCCTGGCGCAGGTGCTTCCCAACCTGTCAATCGCACGCAGATGGGCAGTGGTGGAAGCAATGAGGAGGAGGTGGCGGTAGTGGTGGAGGTGCAATAACTGACCGATGGACTGGGATCAAGGGGCGCAGAACGAAGCTATGCCAAGTACAATGTAACGACGCACACACACACATACACACAGGCACGCATACACAAACATGCACACAGGCATACACACGCACACCATATCCTTACACACACACACACACACACACACATACACTACATCCGCACCGTCTCTGGGAAGCGGCGAGATGCGCTCTGCACAGCGCGTGCGCGTGCACGATCAAATCGGGAATAGTGGAAGCTTGAGCTGACAAGCCTGACCACCTTTGTCTTGGGCACAATATTCAGGCCGAGGGCTTGGTCGACAAGCGATGCACCGGCTTCAGACAGGTAGCCTGAGGGAGGCGCACATGTGTGCGTGTGTGTGTGTTTGCGTATTGGGAAGCACGTGTTGACGTGAGTGCATGCCAATGGGCTGCTCGCGCACTTATACCACAGGTGATAGAGCAGGGTTGCTTATCACACGCACGTATATCTACGCTTGCAATCACTCACCCACACCCACACACATCCATAACCCACACACACACACACACACACACACACACACACACACACATGCCCCCTCATGTGCACGCTGCACCTTGGTTTTGTGGGAGGCAGTCGCGACCATAGCACCAGCAGCAGAAATGCTTCTGGATCCACTTGCCCCATTTCGGGTTCAGGTGCCCGTATGGCTCCTCGTTCTTGGGTTTGAATACGCCGACAATCTCGTTGCTCGTGTTACGGCAGAAGTACGATCCACTCGACCCTTGCAAGATCCTACACCACACACATGAGCAGTTAGAGCCAAGTCGAGGGCGCAGCACGTAGTCTCATGCACCCAAGGCACGCCTCCAATCGCAACCTTCAATTAACACACACACACACACACATACGCAACATTTGGGTCTTACATTTCCGGGAGAATGTCCTCTGCGATGGCCTGCTCCACACTCGCGATCATGTGTGCAAAGTTGGCATCCTGCTTGCTCCCAGGCCCGCTCTCCTGTTCCACACACACACACACACACACACACATCAACGCACACAGTAAGATTGAGGATCGTGGGCTTGTTTGAAGGTAATTGGCCATGGGGAAACAAGCGAAATCATGAACAGTTGCGGAGCATGAACAGCAATAGCGGATCGTGCATGTAACTGCAGCGGAGGAAGAAAGACATGACGCACATCCAGGAGCGGTGTGTTCAGCCCAACTTGCTCGCCATAGATTTCATGGTCGGACATGTCCGACTCGTCGTCCATCTAGTCGTGATGCGTGTGTGTGTATGCGGCGTATGTGTGTGTGTGTGTGTGTGTGTGTGTGTGTGTGGCGTGTGTGTTCGTGTGTGTTCGTGTGTGTGTGTGTGTGTGTGTGTGTGTGTGTGTGTGTGTGCGTGTGCGTGTGCGTGTGCGTGTGCGTGTGTGTGTGTGTGTGCGTGAGAGAAAGGGGAGGAGGGGGAGGAAGGAAGGTCTGTGGACGTGGTCGAGGCGACAGCTGCAAATGTGTGATGTGATGCGATGTTTGTGCCTGCGCCAAACAACGACACGACGAGGCAAGGGTTCACAACCTAGCACAGCATCAACCAACTCAAACACACACACACATGCACACACACATGCACACACACACACATTCACACATATACGAACATACACACATACACACATACACACATCCGCGGGTACCTGGTGTCGCTTGTCTTGTCTTGCCCTGTTGGTCCTTCTCGCTTCCTGCTCTCCACGTCCACGGTCTTGCTCTGTGTCTTCGGTGTGCTGGACGTTCTGTGTGTGCGTTTGCTGAGTGGATAAGTGCTGACTCAGCGAAAACCGCCACCACCACAAAAACGGTCGCAGAGCAGCCAACCACAAGCAAAAGCACAACACCTCCAAACAGCCAGCCACAGGACTCGCCCCGTGTGTGTGTGTGCAGGAGGATGACAAGAGGATGGCTGGGCTTGGATCAACGATAGGGGCGTACTCCCTGCAGGCGTACTTGGGGCAGGGTGGCTTTGCACGCGTGTACCGTGCCGTGGATCTGTCGTCCAAGCGCAACGTCGCGCTCAAGGTGATTGACAAGGCGAAGCTTGTCAAGGACCAGGACCTTGTGGGGCGTGTGCGGCGGGAGATCCAGCTGCACAGTGGCCTCCTCCACCAGCACATCCTCAGGCTGTACCACTACTTTGAGGACGACAAGGGCGTGTACCTAGTCCTGGAGCTGGCCGAGTACGGCAACATCCAATCCTATATCCAAGACACGCTGCAGCGCAAGCTCACCGAGGTCGAGGCCCGCGAATACTTTGCACAGGTCAGTGTGTTTTTGCGAATGCGTGAGTGAGTGTGCGAGTGAGTGCTGGCACTGTGTGTGTGTGTGTGTGTGTGTGTGTGTGCGTGAGTGCTGACTCTGTGTGTGTGTGTGTGTGTGCGTGAGTGCTGACTCTGTGTGCGTGAGAGAGAGAGAGAGAGCGAGCGAGTGAACAAGAACAAGGGGTTACTCAATGAGTGCGCGAGCGTGTGTGCGAGTCATCTCTTGCACACCTCGTGCACACCTCGCCCGCTTCCCTATACAGTCGCACATAGACGCGCACCTCCTTCCCACCCACCCGATTAATGCGTCTCACGAACATTGTTTGCTTTCGTTTAACTCCCCCCCCCTTTGCGTCCTACCTCAACAATGCTTGTTAGACTGCGCAAGCAGTGGAGTACCTGCACGCCAGTGGCATTGTGCATCGTGACATCTCCAACACCAACGTGCTGCTAACGAAAGAGCTGCGCGTGAAGCTGGGCGACTTTGGGCTGGCGAAGAAGACAACTGGGTCTGATGACGACGCCGCCCTCGTCACGCTGTGCGGAACCCCGAACTTCCTCTCCCCAGAGGTGGTTGCACGCAACAAGCAGAGCTTCCCCGTCGACATCTTCTCCCTTGGCTGTCTGCTGTACTACTTCATTGTCGGAAAGCCGCCCTTTGACACGCGCGGGAACGACGCCGTCAGAGAAACGCTGCGCAAAGTGGCAGAGGTGGACTTCCACATCCCCGACACTGTGCCACAGGACGCAGCAGACCTCATCCGCGCCATGATGCAAAAGGTGTGTGTGTGCATGTACGCATGTTTCAGCTTGAGTGAGAGAGAGAGAGACAGACAGACAGAGAGAGAGAGAGAGAGACAGAGAGAGACAGAGAGAGAGAGAGAGACAGAGAGAGAGAGAGAGAGAGAGAGAGGCCGGGTTTCTTGTCGCATTCTGTATGCAGTAGCTCTTGTGATTCCAATCCCTTCACGAGGAATTGCACTGGCACATGCATTACGTAGGCACACACACACACACACACACACAAACTCACTCACTCACACAAACACACTCACACACACTCGCACACATACACGTACATACATGCAGGACGCAAGCGCGCGGCCTTCCATCCGCGATGTGCTGCGCCACCCGTTCATCACACGACGCAATCAGATCCTGAGCGACCTCTATGAACCTTCGCTCGCCAACCCGGTGTTGTCGCCGCAGGCGAGCAACAAAGCGGCAGCGGGCAACCACGCAGCCAGCGCAGATGCGGCTGCCATGAATGGCGGGAACACCGACACAGTGACGCGCCTTGGCGAGCACAGGCACAGCACTTCCCAACTCCAGCAGCCAGCACTCGGAGATACAAGCAATCACAGCGCCCCTGGCACGACAGAGCCAATGGCTTCAAGCCCACGACAACAACTCCACCAACAACAGCAGCAGAAGCAGTCCAAGCAGCCAGCATCGCTGGAAACACCTCCACGTCTCCTCACACACCGCCTGCCAGCTGTTCATGATCCACGCGCAGCGGCAGCAACAGCACATGGCAAGACACAGCCTCGCAGCACCTACCCCACCACCACCACCAACACCAACGCCAACAGTGGTACTGTTGACATGGGTGCGAGTGGCGGTCGGGAGGGGCGAACACAAGCATATGCGCACACGATGAACAGTGGGGTGAGTGGACGCCGCCGCCACCAGACAACCCTGGCACGACACGACGCACGAAACGATGGTGATGGTGTTGATCATACTGATGATGATGATGATAACGGGGGTGTGCATGGGGGACACGGAGCAACGCCACGAGCGACAAGAGCAGGAGCAACTGTGATGGCAGCCGGTGATGTGAGCAGCGGTGTTGGTGCTGATGGAGACGGAAGAGAAACTAGAGGCGAAGTTGTGGAGCAAGGTGGTTACGGCGGCAGCAGCAGAGGGAGGATGGGCGATTTTTCAACCGCTGCTGCAGCACGTGCGACACCGACCACCACCACCACCACATCAGCATCCAAGCTCCATCCAGGCGTGGTCTCCACAGCCACCTCATCCACTCCCAACTCCGCTTATCAGTCACAGCAGCAACATGAACGGCAGCACGGACAACGGCGTGACAGGCGTGGCTCGGCGTCGAAGAGTGATGGCCGATCGAAACGTTCCGTGCACATTTACGATCACCCGCGGATCCTCGCGGATGGAGGAACCACGTCTTCGATGTCAAGTGTTGCGTCACTGCCGTCGTTTACCGCCCTGAACGACATTCCGGGCCTGTCCTTCACGCAATCGGCAGCACACCAACGCAGCAGTGCGGCGACAGCAAATGGTGCACCAGCGACAGCGCATGGTGCAACAGGTGCAAAGGCAGCGGCAGCTTCAGTGTCGGCTGAGGGGGGCGGATGGCGGCGTGGGCGATCGTCGCTCTCGCGCTTGCAGTCGAGCTTGTCCGTGCCTGCAAGCACGAGCGATTCGCAACCACACGCACACATGCGCACGCACGCGGGCGAAGAGAGAAACCAGACAGAGCCCACAGCGACAACCAGAGCAGTCGCGGGGAGTGGCAGTAACAGCAGCAGTCACGACGGTGATGGTATCAGCGGTGCACGAGTGGGTGAATGGCAACAGCGACAGCGGCGCTACGATCACTCTGCATACACGAGCGACACGCAGAGCAATGACGATGACACGCAGCAACAGCAGCAACAACAGCATGAGCAGCCATGGCGAAGCCACCGTGAGTACGAGCGAATTCAACAACAAGGTACATATCCATCCTACGATCACCAAGGCCAGCAGCATCAGCACCACCGACAACAACACGAACAGCAGCAGCAGCAGTTGTACCACCAACGAGAGCCTGTGATTGGCGGCAACAGCAGCAGTTCACGTGTGCATATGGACGCGATGTTTCCGGATGATTTGCGGGAAAGATTTCCACGCACAGCGGGGCTGCTGTCACAACGCAATTCGCTGCGGCGAGGGCAGACAGCCAATGTCGATGACGATGATCGTGGTGTTCGTGATGGTGGTGGAGATGTCGATGGTGGTGGCGATGTCGGTGGTGGTGGCGATGTCGATGGTGGCGATGTCGATGGTGGTGGAGATGTCGATGGTGGTGGTGCAAACGAGACTGAGGCACGTGGTGACCGTGACCACAGCTACCATTCCAACCACCCTTCGCAAGCCCCACACTACCACGACCACCATCAACAACGACATCATCAACAACAACATCAACAGCAACCAGAGCAGCAACATCATAAAGATCATACCTCCACCAATGTCCATGATGATGGTGGTGACGATAGCGGTGATGACGGGATTGTGTCTGCTGTGCAGTTGAGTCCGTCCACGTCGTTTGGGCTTCCCCGCATCGACACAGCACGCCTACTACCCATGGTCCACCACTGGCATGCAGCCAGCGTACGTTGTTGTTGTTTAAGTTGTTGTTGTTGTTGTTTAAGTTGTTGTTGTTTAAGTTGTTGTTGTTGTTTAAGTTGTTGTTGTTTAAGTTGTTGTTGTTTAAGTTGTTGTTGTTGTTTAAGTTGTTGTTGTTGTTGTTGTTCTGGAAGTGTGTGTGTGTGCCTGTGTGCCTGTGTGCCTATGCTTTTTCGCACGCGCACTTGTTTTGCGGTTGCCGTACCTTATTTAACTTGGGCGCAACCGCTCACGCATGGCGACATTGCAACAACAGGTGGAAATTGCGTCGGATGGAAGCGCCCATCTCCGAATCACCGGGAAACACCGCGTGAACCATCACAGCGCCACCGACAGCGACAGCGAATGGGACGAAATGCTGACGGTGCAGCCGGGTGGCCGCGTTGTCCGCGTGGTGAGCAACCGCCCTGGCAACACATTCGATAAGGTGCGTGTACATGTGTGCGTACGTTTGCAAGCAAATTATGATTGCGCGTATGCTGGTCATCATGGCCACGTCGTCGTTCACACAACTATAGATACACACACGCACACGCACACTCACTCACACACTCACTTACACGCACACACGCACTCTCTCACACTCACACGCACACACACACCCATTCACACACACATGCACACACCCATTCACACACGCGTGTCGAATGGAGTTTAGATCTTCACGGTGAGCACGCTGCCTGCGCGTCACCACACGCGCTACCGCCAGCTGCACCGCGTCGTAGAGATGATTCGTGCAAAGACACCCAAGGTCGTCATCTACAGCAGACAGTGCAAGACCATGGTACGTTGGCTTTGGGATCGTGTTCAACGTGGTGCCAACTAGCTTCGTGTCTCGACAGGATACACAAACACGGACACAGTGATTGACTCATTCATGCACACGCACAACCGAAATTGTCTCCTTCCTACCTCGCCCATGTGCACTGTGGTATGTTCTGTTTTGCGTTGTGCTGTTGCGTGTGTGCTGTCGTGTGTGTACTGTGTGCTCCTCTGTTGTGCAGCTGATGGAGAACACGCCGCCGGATATTGCCGTGCACTTTCCATCCGACCTTGAAGGTGATGCCTGGATCTGTGTGTGTGTGTGTCTGTCTGTCTGTCTGTCTGTCTGTCTGTGTGTGTGTGTGTGTGTGCGTGCGTGTGTGTGTGCGTATGTTTGTGAGGGGGAGCGTAATTGTACAGTCGTGTCTTGGCCCTGCATGCGTGAAGGCGGGTGTGCATCATGCATGCTTTTGGACTCACACCATGTCATTGTTGCGTTGGATGTGCGTGCAGTTGTGTTCAATCAAGCGAAGAACACAATAACAGCCACCTCCCGTGGGAAACAGCTCTTCTCTTCACACTGTACGTGGTCGCTCGCTGTTTGATCACATAGCTCTTATGGCACATGCAGCGTTAATATGGCACCGTTTGTGACCTCCATCACTCGATGCTCACAATAACACATACACACACGTACACACACTCACATACACACATGACACACACGAATGACACGCGTGCACGTAGATGTGCTCGGGGAGCATGCACCGCTGTCCATTCCATCTGCTGTATCGACCGAAGTCCACGCGGCCATTCGCACAGCAGAGGGCTGCAGGCGCATCCACGCACAGCACGCGAACATGGCGGCACACCTGGCTGAAGGTGACGCCTTTCGTTTGTTGTTCTTGTTCTTGTTCTTTTTGTGGTCATGCAATCAAACACATATTTGTGGTTTTGAACCAGCGCCCTCTTTGTGTCTCACCAACTTCCCCGTTTTCCCCGCCCACCTCGTTTGTTTTCTCGTTCAGGCGAGGGGGCGACGTCGTTGTTTCCGCTTCGTCTCGGATCACGCAGGTAGCAATGCAGTGTGATGCGCAGTGCAGTGTGGTGCACTGCGGTGCGGTGTGGTGTGACACAAACACGCAATTGCCCTCGTGTTCTTGTCGCACTCTGCTCAGTACTCTTCTTGCGGTGCAGAATACTCTGGCCCACTTCCTTGCTGCTCGCTCCACCCATTTCTTCCGCCGTCCAACCACTGGTCTTCATCATTCAATCCACTCACTCTCCACTTCGCTTTCTTCCTCCCACTTCCTCTGCACAATCCTTGCAGGGACTACCACGCCGCGCGTACTGAAGTGCACGGCCACAACCGCTCCGACACAACAGCAGCACGCGCTGATGACGATGATTATGTTGATGATGAACGTGTGCATGAGACGCCAGATGAACACGAGCACCAGACTGCCCAAGATGCGTCCTCTCAGCACCCGGCCATCAACGATACACCACCCCCACACCAGCAACACCACCACCACCAGCAGGCGGACACATCCATGACCCAACATGTGTCTGTGTCGGCAGCGACGACCTTCAAGGCAGGGGCTGGGTTCAGTGACGTGGCGCCACCGCCAGAAAGCGAAGCGGGAGCCGCCACTGCGCTGGGCGACGTGCAGCAGCTTGGGCACCCGTCAAACGTGGTGTACTTGCAACACATGCCCGGGTATGGCTGGGGTGTGCTCGTGTCGACGGGAGGAGTGATGCTGCTGCTGCAGAACGGCAGCCGCCTCTCGCTCTCTGCGGACGCGTCAGAGGTTGAGTTTGCTTCACCCGATGCGCAAATCACCAGGTGTGTATTCCGTGTGTGTGTGTGTGTGTGTGTGTGTGTGTGTGTGTGTGTGTGTGTGTGTGTGTGTGTGTGTGTTCCGTGTATGTGTGTATTCCGTGTGTGTGTGTGTGTGTATTCCGT